TGAAACAGGGAAGTACCGCCGTGTAATCCATTTATTTCAACAAAGTAACTGTATTCTAAATACCACCTTTTTAAACGGTAACTGTAACTGAATACAGTTACTCATATTTTGTATTTTAAATACGTAACGGCGGTACATGTACTCTGTTACTCCCCAACACTGAGTGTGACATCACCAGTGTTTCTGCTCTTGTCCTGCTGATTAAATGTGTTTGTTTGTGTCTCTGCAGGTGGTTGTGTCAACGACGGTGAATGTGGATGGTCACGTTCTCGCCGTCTCCGACAACATGTTCGTGCACAACAACTCCAAACATGGCCGCCGGGCGCGGAGACTGGACCCGTCTGAGGGTACGCTTCTTTTTAACTCTTTTCTGCACCCCTCACTCAGAGCTGATGAACAAGTGCCAACCTCTCATCCAAACATGGCGACAGGCTGGGCGTGCTCAAAGGAGAACTTCCTGTCAGAGTTTCAGAGTCCACCAATCACAGTCAGCTCCTGTACTGAGAGCTCTGTCACTGGTCTGACTGGTGTAGGAGATCCGACAGTTGCAGAGAGACGAGTGTAATTTGCTCTGTGCAGAGAAATCAGCCCAGTGGATTGTGGGTAGGAAGACCAGACGCTCCAGGGTCCCCAGAGAGGACAGTGTGTGTCTATGCGTGCATGTGTGTGACTGAGTGTCTTTTCGCGGGCCGTTCAACCTCTTTAATTGCCCTCCTAATTAAAGACAGTTACCATGGAAACCACCCCTCCCAATCAAAGCGAGGGGAAGTCCCGTGGGTTTGAGCTCTCGCTCATTTTCAGCTCCGCGCTCGGTTATTTCTGCACACTTACCTCCGTGCCGTGAACGCTTTCAAACCTGCGAGTTCACCCAGCCGCCCACTCCACCTCAGACCCACCGTCTCACACAGGAAGTCGTCGTCCATGCACCACGTTCTCCATGTCTAAAGTAAAACACCGCCAGAGTTCATTGTGTTGCTCTATGAACAGACGAGTGTTTAGATATTAGATCGGTTTCCTGAGAATGCAGCGGAAACTCAGGACCAGGTGGACTCGACTGCAGATGAGTGAAACACACGCGTGTTAGAAACACACGCGTGTTAGAAACACACACTCATCCCTGCTGACAGCCCGGCGACAGCGTGCGACTCTCAGGGTGTGATGGTCAGTGATGTTTGGGTCACTTTATAACAGATTTTTCTATTTCTAAAACATGAAGCGACAGCGCAGGAGCGTCACAGGAAGTCTGCACCTGACGCCAGCTCACAGAATCGCATCGAATAGAATAGAATAGAATAGAATAGAATAGAATAGAATAGAGGTCAGGTGCTATAATGCCATTTCAAGTCATCAAGTGATGAGATTAGCTGCCCTACCTCTCTCTCTCTC